GTAATAAGGATGCCACGGATTCTTGAATGTTGACTATGGGAATGGGGGCCAGTGTGCTGCCTGAATGCCTTTCTTCAAGAACATTTTACTTTTAAGAAAGTAAAATGTGCATACAAAATAGATACAAAGGCTTGATTCTGCTTTCCCATAGAAGGGGGAGGGGGGGGGAAAGGAATTTTTTTGCAACTGATGGACAGGATTAAAACTGAACCAAAACCACCATTCCACATATATATGTGAAAAGCCAAATCATGAAATTACACACACAACAGTTATTTAAGCATTTATTTTTTACAAAATCTTCAAGGCATGAGGTCCTATTAAAAAAAGTAGCTATTACTTCATAAAGTGTAAGGAAACATAATTAAAATGTATACAGTTTGACAACGAAGCGTCGTGGAATTACAAATTGTGGTTATAGCCATAAACAAAAATTCACAAAACTTGCAAAGTGTGAATGTATTGTACAACATTGTTTCCTAAACTGTTAAATATTTACACTGAATATGAACACTTAAGATCTTATTGCTCAATGCTAATATTTTCAGGCTAATGCAATTAATTAGCATGATACTAAAATACAATATTCACAGTTAAGCATACAAAGTGTGTTTAATCAAGACAAGAAAATGGATGGCTAAATTTATTAGTGATAAATTTATTGAAAACTTTTCTTGAGATTTGGAATGAAACAGAATAAAGGATGCTTACTCCGTAATACATTATTAGCATGACGGATGTCCTATTCATTTTTGCAGAAGTGTGCAAGAATTACACTACTGTCACACTTATCTTGGTTTCCCAATTTTGCACAATAGGTAAAACTAATTTATCAATCTACTCATCACACAAAAACATGTGGAATGTTATACCATAAACATTCTCCTACATTAGAGATTTTTGTATATAGGACGGAATAAATTAGGGAGAAAGCATTAATTAGTAACCTACTTCTTGGCAAACTAGGTTTTTTGGGGGTGAGAGGGAGAGCATTTGTGCATATGATAAACCCTGTGACATTTTATAATAAACTCTAAATTTCATAGGAATCAATGGTATAAAGTCAGGGTTCGCTGCCTGGGGTTTTCAATTCTATCAAAGAAATACAATCTAAAAATGAATTCAATTCAATTTGCTTGGTTGGAACAATTCCAGACACTTTTTCCTCCCCTATTTTGTAGAAGCCTACAAAATAAAAAGAAAAGTGATTTCAAATATTGTAACGGTCATCTTGAGGAGCATTGTGGAAGAAATAATTCAAAGCTGGACCACTGAACTTCAGAAAAGAAGAATCAGCACAGACCCTGGGAGGAAATAAAGGGCCGTATCTCCCAGCTGTCTACTAGCTCCCCAAATTCTGAATGCATTTCTCAAGATAGAAGGACAAGAACCACTCTTAAAATGAATTTGCCTCTTTGAGAATTGGACTCAGATGTTACTCACTTTTAAGGCAACCACTGCTCTATTTTACAGGCTTTTACATATTTATATAATCTACACCATGATCAACACAGAACACTGTCAGAACTTCACAGACCGGACCGTCTGATATGACATCTCAAGGGCTACAGCAGGGGGGTCAAACTGCCGGCCCACGGGCCGGATGCGTCATGGCAAAACCGCGCCCACCCCATTGCCGGCAATGGGGAAAAAGTCGCAATACTGTCACGTGATGTTGTGAGTTTGACACCTCAAGAGTTACAGGAACAAACAGCAGCTTTTCGTCACTTCGGGCAAAGTGAAAGGACCATATTCCCATATTCCACTGCTGACGAATCCTGGGGCGGGAATGGGGAACTTACGCTTCCTAAAAAAGTCCCTCCATTTGAAGCTACAAGCATTTATTACCAATCAACTGCACTCAGCCACATTTGCTGTGGAACGAACTACCCCCAGAGATCAGGGTGATCCCTGATCTTCCTTCCTTCCGCCGCGCCCTTAAGACATGGCTATTTCAGCAAGCGGGACTGGCCTAGGGGAAATTTTTAGTTGGGTTTTAATATAATTTTAAATTAACATAGGCCTAATATTATATCTTTTTTAATTGGGTTTTTAATTATAGTATTCTGTACTTTTGTAATTGTTTTATCTGGCTGTTAGCCGCCCTGAGTCCGTAAGGAGAAGGGCGGGATATAAATACAATAAACATAAACATAAACATCTTGTTTGGCACTTGCATACCTGAGAAAAGGTGCAAGTATGGCCCCCTTAACAGAGAAAGACTGGGATTCTACAGAGTGTAAAAATGGGAAGTATTTTTTTTACTACATTATTAATTCTACAAAGAAAAGAAAAGCTGAACTGGAAGGCAGTCCCGTTCATGCTGGCGGAAGCTGCTTCCCCCTAGCCTGCTGAGAAGGGGATGGTCAGAGGGGAGACAGATAATTCCTATATCTGGATTAGGAGGTATTAAGTGTTGCGTTCAGACACTGACAGGATCAGAAATGCCATAATGTTTCTTGGCACAATGTTTAAAACAATATCGAAATAAAGTCTCCAAGCCAACCCTGGCTTGGAAGGGGCAAGGGGTTTCAGAAAGTGCTGAAGACCTATCAAAGTAGACTTTGCTAGGGTGAGGGGAAAGATGAGGTAACACTCAAATGAAGCTGCTCTTGGCCCAGCAACAACATAACTGGAGTATGTATATTATACAACATAACTCAGTAACAACAACGTAAGTAACACATGCTGGAGTAACTTTTTCAGCAAAGCAGGATTTTTAACACTATCTGTGAAAGAACAGGCTCAACTTCGCCATGCGTCGTATTGTCTTGGGTAGGTTTGTGTGGCTCTTCAGCTCTCGAATGAGTCTACAAGCCTTACAATCCAAGAAGCAGCTAGAAAAGTTCTATGGATGATTGTTTTTCCCCCCCTTTAATTATTCCACAGTTCTCATACTAAACGTTTCCTCTGGAGCTCGGAGAAGTAAACAGCAATTCAAAGCTCTGGTTTGCAAATGTGTTGAATTTATAACCTACCATAAAGTTTTTGAGGCGATATTTCCATGGGTATTTTGTGATGCATGCACACAGCACCCAGGAACAGAGGCTTCCGCATTTAGCTAATCACGATGAGCAACTCTGTGCATGCATGCTGTACAAAGTTACAGGAAATATGCATGTACTGTGATGTCCACAACAGCTAAATGAATGAGAAGGTGCTTATTTATACTGGAGCTCTGATGCACAGATCTTGCTACCCGTCAGCCTAAACTTGCTTTCCTTGTTAAGGATGTTACGGAATTTGCAAATGCAAACAACTGAAATCACAAATATTCTCAATTCTCCAACATTTTAGCTACATAATTGCTAAAAGCACAGAGTGAAAGAACTACAGTAGCTAAATGAAGAACTTGAGTCAAACAGATGCACAGTGTATCAGATGAATTTTGTGGTTCTTGATTTCTGGAACTCTATCCTAACTAATTTATGTCCATAATCTCTTAATTACAACCAAACAACAGGAAAGGCACCCAAATGAGAAGCTATTGGCACAGAGCCTTAGAAAGGGAGGATCTCAAAATACTGACCTTGAGCAGGTTCTCGCAACTGCCCTGCTATTTCAGAAATACTTTTATGCAGATTTTGGTGTAATACTTTATGCTTGTGAAATTGCAGGGCTGGATCCAATCTTACTAACGTTAAAAGGAACTGCAGCCTAACATGTTTGAAAGAACTGCTGTGTTAAGAGCAGAGACATGGAAATGATCTAAACATCAGATAGACCAGTCTTTCTCAATGTTGGCAACTTGAAGATGTGTGGACTTCAACTTCCAGAATTCCCCAGCCAGCAGAGAATTCTGGGAGTTGAAGTCCACACATCTTCAAGTTGCCAACGTTGAGAAGCACTGATAGGCTAACATAAAAATGTAGGCCACCAAGCCAATTTTTTTTTTTTTAAATGTTGCCTTCCATCAATTATAGGGCTCCCAATGCCAGATACCCAACTTCCTTTGAATTTCTACCAGTTTTCTGGTAGAATTGTTTAGAGGCCTGTTGTGCTTAAACCAGGGGCTCTTATGGGCTTTGGGGGGTCTTTGGGTTACATATAAATTCAAGGAATTACATCTTTAAGTGTTTTACCAGCAATTTCAAGGAGCAAGAACTACAATGGATCTTTATGTTTGCTTAGCTTAGCAAACCGCACCTGAGTCCAACTTTCAGTAGCATCTACAAAGCCCTCGGGGCTTCACCGCGTGGCACATAAATGGCCAATACAATCAAAAAGATACGCACAACATCCATCGTAACAAAATCTATGCAAAGCCATTGGCATGATATCACAATCCGTAAACCTTGGCGTTAATACCACACTTTTATATATTATACAATGAGGTAATATTTACAAACCCAACCCTTCCCCCCTCTCCCTCCCCCCACCCCTCCCCCTCCCAGCAGAGAGAAAGGATAATGAACAACTTTGCAAATGAAAGAAGATGAGCACGGCTGTTCATTGTTAATCTCGGGCAAAGCAGATCATCGGTACAGATAATAAGATATTAATTGCTGTATGCTAGCCTTGATCGTTCCTATCAAGAATTCAAAGTGCCTGAAGATGCAATTTTTCCTCCCTTCTTGGTGCCTTTCAGATGTGTCAGGACTACAACCTCCAGAGGTCCCAGTCGGCACACCTGGAGAACACTGGTTACACAGACTCTGGGAGCGTGTTTGCAAGACTGAGTTTTGGAAATGAATAAGGCAGCATGTCAGAACAAGACTACAAGCAGCGCCGATATAAGATTATCTCCATAGTGACCATGTTCATCAAGTAAGTTATGCCTTGGGAGTGCGCGAACAAGCCTTAGCATCGCCACCTTTTTAGAAAGTGCAAACAGTTTTCTTCCTTTTTTTAAAAAAGTAACACAGCAATGAAGAGACTCTACTGATGAACACTTTTTCAAAAACAATATCAGAGCAAAGTAGATAAATCTTCTCTTCAATATCCCTTACAAGGCACTACAGGTAGGACGTGACAGGTAACACGAAAGGTAATACTGCTCCTCAGTCAGGTCGAAATATAGGGTATTTTGGTAGGAATTCTATGAGTATTACCTATGAAAAGGGGGAAACACAAAAGACACATTAACCCATACATCCAGGTTTTCCTTGACCGTCAGAATATTGTAGAAGTTAAGGGTGCTTGGCCAGAAAATGGGGAGCTGCTTTGGGCCATGGTGGGGCTGACCTCAGTCAGTCTGGTCTGCCCAGATTGGTATTTCAGAAAAGGGGGTTTTCCCCCCTCCTACCAGCAATTGCACTTGGGATCTTGATAAATCAAGCCCTCTATAACCTTGGAACTTCTAATCACAATAAAATGTTCTCCCCCAAAAGTAAACATTGTCATTCAATGCATATTAATGTTAGAAAAAAGGGGGCATGGCTTCTTTTAATAAGAGTTTGATGAGATAGTTTTTCAGTGGTAAGAAGAGGATGGCTTCCAGATAGTTGTTTGGCTTCCATGTGTTTACTTTCCCCTAGGTGGCACCAGCAACTCAGGTTTAAATCTTGGAATAGCTGCCTTCCTTGCTCAGCTCAGCGCCTTAACACTATCTAATGAGGAAGAATGGAGCGGAGCCGATCTGTCATCAAAGGAACAAACTTCCCCCCCCAAAAGGCAAGGTTAAACTTGTTCGACAATCTGCTGCTGAAGTTTTGCGTATGTCCCCGTTGGACTTGCTACTGATGGGAGCCCAGTGAGTAAATATGTAGCTCAGGTTCAGTGGAACCAATTCCACTGGAGAAATTTTCTGACCGGGAGAACCTTAATCAGTGGAATGGCTTACCTCCAGGAGCTGTGGATGCTCCATCACTGAAGGTTTTTAAGAAAAGATTGAACAATAATTTGTATAACTAAAATTATATTGATAAATGTATTGACTGATTGAGCTATAATTACAAATGTATTAACTTGAATGTGATATAATGATTAAGGGAAATAGAGAGGGAACTTTTAATGACGCCTTCTGAGATATGTACGAAAGACTTTGTTACTGAACTATTGATTACCCAATCACCACGCTGCTTTCTAAGCATTTGGATGTAAAATTGAAAAATTAATAAAACTTGTTTGAAAAAAAGAAGAAATGATTGAACAATGATTTGTCTGGGACGGAATAAGGATGCCTGCCTTGGGCAAGGGGATTGGGCTAGGAGACCCCTGAGGTCCCTTCCAGCTCTATGTTCTAATTCAATTCAAAGTTACTTAGCATTTTCTTTTTTACATTAACCTTGTGAACTCTCAAGCTCCCTCCTTCCGTTATATATTCAAGATGGACAGTATTTAATATTTATTTGTTACATATATGTAGGGATGTGGGTCTATACATATGTTGTATATAATATGTTTAGGTGTGTGTCATGTATGTGTTTCACTTTGAGAACGGGCAACTAAATTTCATTTTTCAATGTGTGCTGTTGTTCCCACAGTAAAAAAAAAAAGACAATAAAGGTTATCTTATCTCTTATATTTATGAAAAGCAGCAAGTAATTTGATACAGAAAATATCGGAGCACATTTTCATAAAAGCAGAGTGGGGAAAAGCCTTGACTCATCCTTTCAGACTCCCAAGAGTGCTATAGTACTTTTTCAACATGTTTTGATTACAAGTCACTATTGAAATCCACAAATCTAAAAACAACTGATGGGTCCCTCAATATCCTTCAGGGCCACGGTGATATTTACTTCTCTATATTCCAGAATACTCAGGGAACAGTGAACAAGCAAGAGGAAGCTAAGTCAGTTCAACCAAAAGATGTGTCTAGACATTTATGTTTTAAAAAGGGGAAAACAGACTATTGTGTTTATAAGCTCGAACACTGCACAAGATGCCACCTTAGACGAGGCTCTGATCTGGCCTATAAAGGTTCAAATCTAAGCTAGGGGTAAGTTTTACAATAGTGCTTATTTTAACCGAAGTAAATAGTACTAGCTATTTTAAGGATAGTTATGCTGAAAAACCATTTTGTATTTTAACAAATTAAGATAACAAAGAACGACCAACATAGAGCAGAAAAATTCAAAAGAAAATCAGCTGGTACGTTTGACATTATTCAGAATGATACAGGTTTGCTTATGTACGTGTTATCTGTCAATCTTTTAAAGCCTCCATGTAAACAAAGAACTGTGTGGCACACAGAAGGCCCCACGTATAAAGGCACTTAACATAAATGGCTCATTTTATCATATTGGTGGGCATGTAAAAAAGCTACTTATTCAAAGGACTTTAATGCTAATCTTTAATTAGCATAATTGAGTCAGAGCTCTTTCTTTTGGGACTGATGGGCAGAAGTTGGAAAAAAGTCATGGAACTTTGTTTTTGTAATGATCTTTGTTTTTGTAATGATCTTTGCAGTATGCACAATAATTTATATTGTGCAAAATACACACACACACACAATTAATATCTATGTTTATTGCTGACTGGAAACCGCTTATGGACTTTTTGTGTATAACAGAAAAAAGTGAACTTATTTTGGTTTCTATATTTTAGAAAGAAGAGAAATATATGACCATAAGCAAGAGGTAAATTTAAAATTGTAGCTATAATTGCTACAAAAAGTTATTTCTTGATATCTTTTTTTTCTATTTTTGTTATTATTTTTGCCCCCTTACTTGCACTTTTAGCTCTTTGATTTCTTTCTTTTTCTTACCTTAAATTAGTTTGCATTAGTTTTTATCTTTCCTCTTTAAAATATTTAATAAGAATTATATATTTTAAAAAGGAGAAGGGGAGAAGAAAGAAATGTGTTTCTTACTGTACTTAACACTGCTACAACATGCGTAAATGGAAGCAAACGAGTAGATCGAAATTAAAACCTGGAAAGATAATGCTAACTTTGCTAACAGCTAGCTTTGATTTTATAAGTTGGTGTAGCTGTTGATTTTACTTTCAGATGAATGACTGCACTATGCTAGGCATATCCTAATACATATATATAATTATGTACATATTCCTGGAAAGTAGAATTATGTCTCCAATCACTAAAGACAGGAATTAATTAATCAGAAGAAAAGGGGAACGTGATACTGTGAAACTGGTACAGGTCCTTGACTTACAACCAAAATTGAGCCCCGAATTTTTGTTGCTAAGTGAGAAATGTTGCCCCATTTTGTGGCCTTTCTTGCCACAGTTGTTAAGTGAATCACTGCAGTTGTTAAATTAGTAACATGGTTGCTAAGTGAATCTGGCTTCTGACATCGACTTTGCTTGCCAGAAGGTCGCAAAAGGGGATCACATGACCCCAGGACGCTATAACCATCGTAAATGTGAGTCAGTTCCCAAGCGTCTTAATTTTGATCACATGATCATGGGGATGCTGTAACGGTCATGAGTCATTTCAGTGCCGTTGTAACTTCAAACAGTCACTAAATGAACTCTTGTAAGTTGAGGACTACGTGTACCGATAACTTCAAAAATACTTACATATTCCATCATATTGCTACTTTCGCATTTCCGTTTACTCAACTTCCAATGCAAGCCAAGCTTAAAAAAAGAAAAAGATACTGCATTATCTTAACCAATAACACTCAGGGGTAGGCAACCTTGGCTCTTTTATGACTCGTGGACTTCAACTCCCAGAATTCCTGAGCCTTCTGGGAGTTGAAGTCCACGAGTCATAAAAGACCCAAGGTTGCCTACCCCTGCTTTAGATTGACAAACAAGCCTCTATGTCCCTTTAACCTATTTATTAAAATTCCCATATATGCTGCCCAGCACAAGATTATTTCTGGGTTAGCTGTAACTGTAATACTTCAGCTTTCTAAATCAGTCTGCCCTTCAGATATGGAGTGTGGCGTGCAATTCCTCTCAGGCAAAGCATGAGGCAATTCTAATGCTGCATATCTGAAAGACATTGATTAGAAAAAAAGCACCCACTATGTATAGATTTTTCTCATTACTTCAATAAGAGCCACATTAGAAACTTCAGTCAGCTAGGACACCTTGCCTCCCTAACACAGCTAGATATGAGCGAGCCACTGGTTTCAATCCCTTAAAATTAAGACATCTGGCAAATAAATGAATCGAAACAGCAGTTAATGAGATCACCACTCACACCCACCCACAAATCGGAGTTCTGGAATTATGAATTAGTCTCATCTGTGTTTTTGCAGTCCACACAGAATAATCTTTGATTGATTAAGAGAAATATATTATTTCCTACCATAAATAAGGCAACTGCTCCTTATATTACCTTGTGATACAATCTGTTATTTTCCCATTCTAACAACTTCTGAATAGATCTTCTTGTCTAGGAAAAAAACAAGCTCCTGTTAGTTTTTTTAGTATTGCCACTGACCAGAATTATACACAATTTCATGAAAGGGGTTAGAGACTTTAGGTAAAAATACAGTAAGAATTCAGAGTAAGCTGGGGGAAAAATAAAACGGAGCAAACTGAAGTGTATTATAAATACAATTACCTAACTATGGAATACTAAAAACTTAAAATTAAGTCACAAGGTTGTAAAGCTGAATACACTGTCGAGATGGTCATTATTATCTTCCCTCTGCTGTGGTCTATATCAGAGTCCACCAACCTTTCCAGCTTTGTGGATCGGCGGGGAAGGCGGGAGGAGAGGGGATGTACCAGTGGCAGGAAAGCGTGCACGCCCATCGCTAGTGCAAATACGAGCATGAACGCACACGCTCACCCACCGCTCACACAAGAGGGGATGCACGCATACATGTGCATGCTCGCCCTGCACTTCCACAGCCCTGTTCCGAACGGCTCACGGCCCGGTAGTGGGCCACAGCCCAGAGGTTGGGGATCCCTGGTCTATATTGTCTGCTTTTATGGTACTTATTAATATGGATTTTTAAGTTTTCTTTGTTGTTTGCCCCCCAGAGTTGCATCCAATGAAACGAGCAGCTATACAGGTAGTCCTTGAATTATGACCTCAATTGAGCCCAAAATTTCTGTTGCTAAGTGAGGCATTTCTTAATTGAATTTTGCCCCATTTCTTGCCCTAGTTGTTAAGTGTATCACTGCAGTTGTTAAGTTTAGTTAACACAGTTGTTAAGTGAGTCTGGTTCCCCCACTGACTTGGCTTGTCAGAAGATCTCAAAAGATGATGGTATGACCTCAGAACACTGCAAGCTTCCCAATTTTGATCAGGTGAGCACAGGGATGCTGCGACGGTGGTTACGTGTGAAGAGTGGCCATGTCACTTTTTTCCGTGCCGTTGTAACTTCAAGCGGTCACTAAATGAACTGTTGTAACAGCTTGGAAACTGGCTCATATTTGTGATGGCCGCAGTGTCCCAGAGTTGTGTGATCACCTTTTGCGACCTTCTGACAAAGGAATTCATCTTGACCTCTAAGACCCCCTTCCCCATGGACCCCCCCCACCCCACCCCCTGAAAAGCCACCTTTGCCTGGGCCACTTAGAAGAGAGGGAACAGCTGCACTGGCTGGTTGGCATACTTACTCTTTTATTAAGACAGACGGCCGGCCAGAGGCTGCATCCCAGCGTGCAGCAGCAGCATAAACAGCCACAGAGAAGCCATTTTACAGTGATGGGCAGATTCTTCCTTAAACATGAATTCACATGGCTGATACTGGTCTTGAATTCTTCAGGGGCCACCTGGAAAAAGAGGACAAGGGGTGACTCCACATTCGGAACTAAAACCCGTTCTATATCTAATATACAGATATATCTCATGACTTATTTTTTTCCCATTAAGACTAAGATTTGTGTTAATTTTAGTCAATCTACAATTGATTTCCCTTTAAGCTCAGTTATTTTTTGCCTTTGTCCCGACTACACAAATGGCCTAAATGTTTTGTTAATACTGAATATAATCTTTGGTGAACAAAAAGTGAAACAATATTAGGGATGCACCTACATATGCTGAGAGCCTGTAACTGAAACAGAATCTCCATGAATTCTTACCTGAATGGGAATAATAGAATAAAAAGAACAAGAGAATACTTTTGGTATCCTTTTGGTGACACTAAATTAATTTTTTTTTCAGTATTCAGTCCTATATTCAATTACAGATCCCTTCAACTGGAACCAAGGATCGTAAGAATATGGATATTAAAATTATATTGCAATCAGCCCATCACATTTTTGCAAAACATATGAGCATGCCATAACCTTTAGCAGACTATTGAAGTTTATGTCATAATAATTGGTTAAGCTTCGAGGCACTTTTACCCTGTTTCTGATGGAAAAGTTTAACTCTTCATGTATGTGCTGGGTTTCAGTTTTTCTAGGCTGCCCTAGATACACAGTACACACAGTCAGCCATTCTTAACAAAGGATATTTTTCACCAATCCCCTTCAGGATAGGAGGTAAAGACACAATACCTGGGCACTTCATGTACCTACAAAGGGAGCAAAAAAAGTAGAATGGCCCGAACTATCTAAAACTTCATTTCTATTTAAACTGTTTTCCAAGTAAAAAAAAAAAAAAAGCAGCGAATCGCTGAGGAAAGTTCTAACGTGTTTTTATTTCAGAAAAGCCTTTCTTGCATCTGAAGCCTAGAACCACTGAGCCATTTTTTTTAAACTTTGCTTCATTCCAGAGCACGTCAGCATACCAGGCGACACGATGCTCTATCCATTATCAACAGCCATTTTATATACGTGTTTTTTGCTGAACAAATTTCAGAAATGACAAGGGTTGCATTCCAAATTAGCGAAGGGAACTGCAGCTATTCTGACATGCAAAAAAAAAAAAGGCATGGTTTTTGTTGTTGTTATTCGGGAGTATTTTTAAGCATCCTGTGATGCTGTAAATAAAATGCTATTGTTCTTAAAAAACAAGTAAACCAGGTAAGCCCCCCCCCCCAGTACAAGGAGAGCTGTAAGAAATCCATCTGCCTGAAGAGAACAGCTGCATTCTAAAGAGGAGTTCCTTTTTGCCAACCAGCCATAAAAGGGGCGGAGGGTGGACGGAAGGGCCATAATGTTTTACAACAGCGGGCAAGAAAGGAAGTGATCGCCCCGAAAGCCAGCAGGCCTGCTCTGCTTTCTTTGACCAGGGTGATCACAGCCCTATCCATCACACCTTCTGCTGAATCATAATACCAAAGGGAGGTTTTATGACTTGCACTTCCCTGCATTGCTCACTAAAGTCCGTATTGTTTCAAGATCAGAGCAGGAAGCTGGACTTTTTCCCCTTAAGGATGACCAACAGCACCAGGTGGCAGAACTATGGAAGCCCCATTTAAGACCATATTGCAAGCTTACATTTTTAATCAATAAGGGGGGAAAAAAGACAAAAGGTCCAATGAGTTGAGTTGTGCGAATGGGCAACTCTAAGCTAGGCAGTCAATGCCGAAAGCTTACAGTGCTATTAAAAAAATTAAATGAACAGAAAAGGGGCTAGGGAAATTTAGAATGTAAGTAGAATTCCCTAACTTCTGAAGATTGAAATGAGGTAATAATTAGGATTTTTTTCTCTTCTTTTCAGTATTTTTATTTTCCAAAGATTGTGATAAGCTCCAGTTGGAAAAAGCCACCTATTACTTTCCAAGAAAGAGTATTATCAGCACCTATAGTAATAGAAAAATAATAACCAGCATTCTGAAATACAGAGACAAAAACATGGTTATACTGTAATTTGGGCTTCCACTTGAGAGCAATTGACTTAATTCAGTTGGATTCTCATTTGAAAGAAGAAAACACTTTAAGATACAAAGATCTTAAGCTATTAAATTCTAGAGTTGACTCTCTGAATTAGAGCCTGAAAATTAGTGAGTTCTTACTTGAAATGGGTTCTTTAAATAACGCTATAATATGCTCAGCTTGGCTGCCACCATTTAACTATTTTTAATTTTGCATCAAAATGCCTGGCATGGAAGAGCGGTTGCCAAGCAGAGCAGATGCTACTAAGAGAGTACACAAATGCATAAACTTTGCTATCTCTGACCTAGTTTTTACAGGATTAAAAATAGAAAGAAACCTCACTCTATCCTCAGTCAGTTTATGCCACATTCCAATTTCTGGGTAGCTTTTGCCAGACTTTGAAGATGAAATGTTGTCTTCTGGGCACTGGAGATGTTTTAGAGAGTACAGGTAGTCCTCGATTTACAACAGTTCATTTAGTGACCATTTAAAGTTACAACGGCACTGAAAAAAGGGATTCGTGACCATTTTTCATACTGATGACCGTTGCAGCAACCCCCTGATCACGTGACCAAAATTCAGACACTTGACAACTGGCTCATGTTTATGACGGCTGCAATGTCCGGAGGTCATGTGGTCACCTTTTGCAACGCATTGACAAGCAAAGTCAATGGAAAAGCCAGATTCATTTAACAAGGTGGTTACCAATTTAACAACTGCAGTGATTCACTTAACAAGTGTGGCAAGAAAGATCTTAAAGTGGGGCAAATTCACTTAACAAATGTCTCGCTTAGCAATGTACATTTTGGGCTTAATTGTGGTCATAAGTCAAGGATCACCTGTATAATTTGGGGGAATCTTTTATATAGTCTTTAGGGGACGATGTCACTGCCCCCATATAGCACAGAGCAGGTCCACTGATGCTTCACTCGGCATAAGGGAGCACGCCCATCCAATACATTCCAGCCAACATTTCTAAAATACTCTTTCAAGATAAATTCAATCAGTCTGGCAGAGTATCTCCCATCCTGGTTGCCAGGTCAAATGAACACAACCTAGCCACCTCTGATCAGAGATGCTGTCACAGACAATAGCTATGAGCCTACACTGACAAATGGAGCCTACTCTTAACAGTACTGCAAAAACAGATTTACCCAAAAGAGGGGGAGAGAGAGAGAGAGAGAGAGAGAGAGAGAGAGAGAGAGAGAGAGAGAGAGAGAGAGAGAGATGAAGAAATGGAGGGTGGGTGTGAGAGAGTTACTGAAGTAAGCAAAGAGAATGCATATCCTAGACTGCCCAACCGTTTAATATTTGTAAAAAGACTCGAAGTATACAAAGCATTCTAAGCTGTGATAAGAGTAGACAACTCCTGTTCTTGCACATGTTCTACTCATGGGAAAACTCTCAAATTGAAGAAAGGAAAACTCACATGTTTGGGGTGGGGGGAGGGGAGAGCAACAAATCCTGAATCTAACAGAATGAATGGCAGATCTATACAAAAGCTGCTCTTGAACCCATTTTTTGAATCCACATTCTACAGAAATAAGTGGCCGTATCTTAGATTATATCGGTTTGTGGTCACTATGGATCATCTCAAGAGCATTCCTTGACAAATGCGGCAAGGTGACAGTAAACTCAGGTTTAGGATCAAGGCAATTCCAACTTTCAGGTTTAGGATCAAGGCAATTCCAACTTTCAGGTTTAGGATCAAGGCAATTCCAACTTACCTTCCCTGTCAGAACAGAGGGAAATTCTGTGTCAAATCTGTTGCTCAAGCCAAACCTTCAAAAAACAAAGAACAAAAAGTATTTCCACCGAACCTATAAAGTGTTTACAACTTTTGTTATACCTGTTTTGCATTTGAGATTACAATTTGTTGTGGCTTTATACCTCATTCAACTGTACATCAAATAATTTTACACATAGCAGGGGATAATCAAACAAAGAAACATGTATGTCTCTTGTTATTAGTAAGTAGTTACTAATATAAATATAAATGGCTGTTCATCCTTCCTAATGTCTGTCTAAATAAATTCTATCAAATTAATCAGGTCCTCGACAGATCCTTGTAGGAATTCAAATAGTTTGTAAATTATGACACAGACAAGAACATTTCAACACACACTTCACCTTCTGACTTTTCTTCTACGTGTTAGTAAGAATGATGAAGGTTGTAGTGTTTTGACAGGAGAAACAAGAATCCTTCCAGGAGAGGATCCCAAAGTGGTATCGCCTTGACTTTGCAAGCTCTGCGCTAACATTAAAGAACCATATAGATGACACATATTATATACACACACTTTCACTTAGAGAAAATACTGCTGTAGATAGTTTGAGGTGCACAGATTACACAAAATGTAATCTCCACAGCTCAATACTTTGCAAGGAATATAAAATAATATACAAACCTAAAGTCATAGAACAAATGTATCTTGGCTTCACAATGAAGAGATTAAGCAATACGGTAATTTGCAGCACTGTCTATTAACTCTGGGAGGACCTCAGAAGCAGGATGATGGGTGTCGTATAGCATTATAAAATACAAAACGTAGGAGGACATGCTTTATTGATTCAACCTCCTGAAGCTGCAAAGACAAAGTCATATATAATATGGATTTTTTTTCCTGAATTTCCCAAACAGAAGCAAAGAGGTCAAAGCATTGGCCCTTGCCAACATGAAGGACCTTCTATAATTGGAAACTGATAAATAACCTGTTAGCTTCAGAAAGCAATGTGTTCCACTAATATTACAGAAACCTAGAACTGATGACATATTTAATTAGTAGTCCATGCCTCTCATTCCTTAATATGGACTTTGGCACTATGCACTTCTAAAACTAGCTAGGTAGTCCTCAACTTATGACCACAATTGAACTCAACATTTGTGTTGCTGAGTAAGACAGTTGTTTTGCCCTATTTTACAACCTTTTTTTGCCATAGTTCTTAAGTGAATCACGTGGCCATAAAGTGAATCTGGTTTCCCCCATTGACTTTGCTTGTCAGAAACCAGTTGGGAAGGTTACAAATGGTGATCACATGGCCCTTAGGACAATGCAACTATCATAAATAGATGCCAGTTGTGTCAAGTGCCTGAATTTTGGTCACGTGACTGTGGGGATGCTGCGACGGTTGTAAGTGTGAAAAATGATCCACAAGTCACTTTTTAAATGCCATTGTAACTATGAACAGTCCCTAAATAAATGGTTGTAAGTTGAGGACTACCTCTATAGAGAAATCCTTATTTCAGAGCCCAGTTCCAAAAGATATCTCCCAAACTGCTGATAGGAATTTTTCAGGATAACGGCAGCTTAACCTAAGCATAGTAAAATTCAACTGACAGTCATTATTTAAGGACTATGATCCAGATCTTTGCCTCTATTTTAGAAGTCCAGCCTCACAGCAACAATATTGAAAGTAAGTCCCTAGCTTAATACAGCTTTCAAGTTAAATCTACTTTAATTTTCTCCATAATAAATTATATTAGCCTTGGTCTTGTTTGTTGCACAGTATTAAATTCTTAAAGTTTTCTTTGGAGCTTCAGCAGAAACAAAGAAGCCAATTTAAAATGTTTCCAACTCAATTCTACAATGTTCTTTCTTTCAATTCACTTACTAATATGCTGAAAAACTAGGAACCCATGTACAAGAATAGCAGGGCTTCTTTGAGCTATTGACTACTTAAAAGTGGCAAATGCTGAAATTGTATATTAGTACAAAGAAAAAGAAGAGGGAATATTTTTAAAATGATCAGGATGGTACCATTTCAGCCTTGCTATGCTGTTCTGCCATATCAGAGCCTCCTTTAACTTTTGTCAAACTTGCCAAGATTATGACAAACATTGCATTACATTACATAGCATTATATTATTGCCAGCACACACATTTAACTAATAGCCATCCTTTTTGTAGTATCTTTTAAACAAATTTGGCAAACACTATAAAAATTAATTGTTGCTTCTTTAAAATATGTTAATATTTAGTGATAATTCAAGAGAATAACCCTAAAAGTGAATGACTGGAAAGTGAATGTTTTAGCACTGAAGCATCACAATAGAAAAGATCTATTTGAGTAGCTTTCTTTCCATTTTACTGAACAAATGCAACTTAAAGGAATGGAAATTCTTACATAATCAATTCAGTAGGGAAATGATCTATTTTTGTACCATAGTCTCTGGAGACAGCCTGAAAACCTGCTTCAATGTCAAGTCTTCTTGACAAGTAAACCCCATTAATTCCAAATGAGTGGAAATGCAAATGTAGTCTTGGAAACGCATCTTATAAATAAGCCTGTGAAAATGTTTGACCACCCTATAATGTCTGTTTACGATCTCCATTAAACAAGGCATTTAGATACAGTACTTACTGTTCAATATTCTCATTGCTTATCATGTGTGTGTCTTATAAACAAAATCGAAGTGCAACTTCAGCACTTAATAATTTACTATAATTTATTGTAAAAAAAAATAGCAATCTATTTGGCAATAAAATTGTAACTGTTTTCTCATTCCAAAACCCACATTTTAAAAAGAAAAACTAGTATTGATTGTAAAATCTTAAATGACTCGAGGCATGTTGTCACTCAGTCTACCATCCCAAGTTTTCTGATGACACAAACTAAGATTTATAGCAGTAGCAATAGCACTTAAGACTTAGATACCCCTTCACAGCCTCTCTAAGCCGTTTAGAAATGTCAGCATCTGGCTCCTCATTTTTACCGACCTTGGAAGGATGGAAGGCTGAGTGAACCTTGAGCCCCTAAGAGTTGAACTCCAGGCTGTGGACAGAGTCAGCCTGCAATGCTGCATTCTAACCACTGCCCCACCAGGTCTCTTTCCTAATTTTTTAAAATATATGCAGTAAATGAAAATCATCATTGACTCAACTTCCAAAAAAAGATCTCAATACATCTGGGGGGGTCTCCTCACTGAAGGTAAGAGTCCAGGCAAAGCACATGCAATCCAAGAGCACAGAGAATGCCTGCTGAAGGGCCCACCTACTGGGAATTAGGGCGGGCCCCATCCCAAAGCAGGCATTCTCCATGGGGGTTGCCCTCCTCCTGAAGGCAGAGGCAGCTCCCATCTCCTGACCCTTGGGACTAGAGCAGTGGTTCTCAACCTGTGGGTCGGGACCCCATTTGGGGTCAATCGACCATTTCATGGGGGTCGCCAAGCAAGGCTGTCCGCCATTTTTTTTGTCCGCCATTTTTTCCCCCTTTTCCAGCAGGTGCCTTACCTCCCTTGGGCTGGGCCAGCTGGTGGTCGGCCTGCTCCGTCTCTGCCGCTTGCCAGCTACGCCTCGGCCGGCGCAGGGGGCGTAACCACGCATGCGCGGCGCTCCCGGGCAGGGAAAGTCCTTGACTTACAACCGGTTGGGTAGTCCTCGACTTACGACCGGTTTAGTCCTCGACTTACGACCGGTTTAGTCCTCGACTTACGACCGGTTGGGGTCGCGGCATTAAAAAGGTTGAGAACCACTGGACTAGAGTGCTGTGGACTCCCAGTGTTTTTGTACCCCAGCTTGTGTTACCTTAACTGAAGCAGGTTATAAGTTCATAAATAAATAAACAAAAAGAGCTAATGGGTAGCCATGTTAGAATCTATTAAGGATTGAGCTGAAGATAGATTTTTGGAAGAAAAAATAATCATGCTCTTTATACCTGGAGAAATGGCCAATGCCAAAAAGTAAGAGCCAGAATTTGAAAACCAGGGTTAAATGATATCGATGGTAACTGGAAATGACTATCATTCTCAATCTGGTAACGTACCAATCAACTAGATCAGGGGTCCCCAACCCCTGATCCATGGACCGGTAGCGGGCCGTGGCATGCCAGCAACTGGTCCGCACAAACAAGCAAAGCTCCATCCACGGGATGCAGGCAGCACACAAAACCATGCACTCTCCGGTCCACAGAAAAACCTCTGTCCACAGAACTGGCCCCTGGTGCCCAAAAGGTTGGGGACCTCTGAACTAGACAAACAAACAAGCAGAAGATACCAAGCTTTCAAGCAAAAGGAAAATTCAAATTCTATTTCAACATAATTTTGGGAAAGGTTACAGCTAAAGAAAGTGAGAGTCAGTTTGGTCTAGTAGTGGCTAAAAACCAGGAAACCATGAGTTCTAGTCCCACCATAGGCATGAAAGCCAGCTGGGTGACCTTGGACCACTGTCTCTCTCTTTCTCAGCCCAACTCACCTCACAGAGTTGTTGTAGAGAAAATAGGAGGAGGAAGGAGTATTAGATATGCTTGCTGTTTTGAGTTGTTTATAATAATAAAGGCAGGATATAAATGAAGCATTTGTACAAGTATGCAACCACCTTGATATCAACTTTTCGTATCCCAGCAACCCCCCCCACCCAATTTGCTTCTTAAAAAGCTATACAAATCCTATTATTTTAATCCAATGCCTTAGCAGCACCTTGAACAATTTACTTTACCCAAGCTGCAAAATCCTGATCCAATGGACTAAAATCCCCACCACCTTCTGCCATCATGTTTATAAAACATGCTGGCTAGGGATCAGTACATCTGGGGGCCATAATAGGAATTTAAAAGAGGGGAGAGGGTGCTCCCAAAAAGTTATACCTGAGATTCTTATCATAAGAAAGATAAGCATAAACTTCAAAATCATCTAAAAATTAAAGTCACTTTGCTTTGTTGCTTTGTTAACTCATGCCAGAGTTAACAATATGTAAAATTCCAATGAGACTTACAGTACACAGATTGAAACAATGTGGGGTTGTCTTTCTTCCCATTCCATTTTGTTTAACAACAGAACCAAAGGAAAGTTGTACAAAACATTATTTTTAACAAAAGCTCTTCCTTTGGAAAACTGGTCTCTCCTATCTAGTTGCACAATTCATTGTTTATCTACGTCATTTCCTGGTAAAGATGAAATTATATTGTCAACTGTATGCTAGAGTCTATTACACTACTAGAATCTGCTCATATGATGCTAAGGATTACATTAGCTCTAACCACTTGGTGAATTATTTGAAAAAAAGAGACAATAAAGTTATTAGAAATATAGATGAGCCACCAAATGATAAAGCTTTGCCCTCTGGTTTAATTTATACCCTTCCAGAAGGAGTGTCATGAAAAACAAAACCTTCCTCAATATACCTTGGCACACAGTTTTATTAATACATAAGCTATTTAAATAGGGTTCAAATATTCTACTCACATTGTCCTTATTATTAGCTTATCACAAAGTTGTTTTATGCAATATGAAGAGATAAAGTTACATGCTTTGTAATTAGGCTTTTTATTACTCAAGCCATGATCCAGAACTGGGGTGTGGGAGATGACTCTACAGACTCCAAAGGGTATGGTCAAACACCAAGGATTGGTGACACCCAGAAATACGGGCAAAAATTCCACAGCAGTACAAATACAGTGCTTCAAGCAAGTGGGGGACACAGAGCGGTCTAGTCAGGGGGCTCAAGAACCAAAACTATAGTATAATATGGGGAGAACACTGACAAAAATGAGAAAGTTACAGATAAAATGTAAAATATATTGTACCCCACAGAAGTGGAGATAAGAAATGGAAATCATAAATTCAGAGGCAAGGAATTCTGGGTAAGTTTTTTTTTAAAAAAAAAATAGAATACAGAAAGCTCACTCTATATAAATAGTTGGGGTTTTTTTTTTTTAAAAAGGGGGTGATCAATGACCATTGAAGAACTATCAGATCAAGATACTGCTTCCTTTCATCTCTTAATGTAAATGCAATTTAAGAACAAAAATTAAAATACATAATGAAGATATATAAAGCAAATATATCTTCATAACAAGAGAAAGCAAATGTCCTCTTAAAAAGAATGGGTTCAGCAACAGAACAAAAAAAGAAATATCAAGGTGAGCGCAATTCAAAACATCCCATTTGATACATATAATAAGTAAACAGAACAATAAGATACATTCCAATCACTGTATTCCCAATTATTTCCAAGACAATAATCTTTGAATGGATAATGAAATAAATATCAAATGACAAATGATGCCTAGGGAGTTTAAAATTTAAATAAAGCCATTAACATTTAATAAAGAATTAAAAGAATGTTTTTAAATTATGGGGAAAATATAAATGCATATAACAAAGACATTAAGTTATTTGCTTTATAGAAAGCAGGGCAAGATGTAAAAATAGACATTGTGAGGAACAATTGCATTTAATACACATTTCATGATTACAACTGAAAACAAAATGGGTTTCCTCTCATAATTAAAAACAAACATAAAGAAATAGAGAGCTAGCAATGTTTTTTCAAATGACCTCTTTAGGATCATTTTCTCTCATATCCCAGTCACAGTTTGGATAGCGTTCACAACTTTTGAACGGTAACTCTGCTAAGTATCACCCAAGCCTTTGCAATGTCACACCCTCCTTTATTCATTTGTTTATTTCTATTGCGCCTTTATTTTTTTTTACAAGTAATTCAAGGCAGGGAAGATACTCAACGCATCTTCCTGCTCCTATGTTGCTCCAGCCCCTTTTATAGATAGCCACATCTGGTTCTGGTTTTATTTTATTTCAATACAGACAATATCAAAATATGTCCTTCTTGTCTGCAGTGCAGCATCAACTTCGAGCCCAAATGTAAAGCCAGGAAAGGGGGGCGGGGGAGGCACAGCCCTGCAAATCTGGAGAAGAGTTTGGGGCTGCCTGTCTGTTGGCCCCATGGGCCCCCCCAGCCTTCTCCTCCAGAGGGAGGCAATGGCAGTGTCTCTCCCCATCCTATCACAGACACCCCAAAGGGTGAAAGTGAGAGAAGGGGCTCTGGGACCCTTTCAGCACAGGGTCTCTGCTGGGCTTCTTCCCACAGGCACTCCAGAAAGCAACTACAGGCAGTCCTCGACTTACGACCACAATTGAGGCCAAAACTTCTTTTGCTAATTGAGATATTTGTCAAGTGAATTGTGCCCCATTTTACCACCTTTCTTGCCACAGTTGTTCTGAATCACTGCACTTAAGTTAGTCACAGGTTGTAAAAAGTGAATCTGGCTTCCCCAATGATTTTGCTTGTCCGAAAGTTGCAAAAAGGGACCATGTGACCCCGGGACAGTGCAACCGTCGTAAATCTGAGTCAGCTGCCAAGCATCTAAATTCTGATCATGTGACCATGAGGATGCTGCCGCAGTCGTTAAATGTGGGGAAAAAAAGGTCCTAAGTCCCTTTTTTAGTGATGTAACTTCGAATGGACACTAAACGAACTGTTGTGAGTCGAGGACTACCTGTAGTTGTATACTGCACGTTATGGCAAGATGTGACTACGAGTTTTATGATTTTATGCTTTTATATTGGCTTTTCCCTGTTGTTTTTTTAAAATGCTTGTCTTGCTCTTCTTTGCTCTCTTTATATTTTAACGGTCTGAAAGAGTCCAGAAGAGTCAGACATGTATGAGATAGGGGGCCGTATCCATTTGAAGAATTAATAAATAAAATAAAATAAAAAAATAAAAATAAAATAAAAAACTGCTCCTCTCCTGTCAGGCTGGCTCCCTCCCCAGAGACCCTGGAAGACCCCTCTGCCCCCCTCAAGGAACAGCCGCTCAGGGAAAGATGCGGGGGGGGCGGGCAAGAGAGGCGCTCTGCACACGCTCAGGAACCCGCATCTCACTTCACTCCTAAATGAAAAGGGGGAGGGGGACGCGGATTCCTCCCCACGAGGGTATTCTGCCCCTCCTCGGGAGACGCCTCAGAGGGTCCCGGCGCTCTGCACATGCCCAACGGCCGCCCCGCGCCCTCTGCACGCGCTCAGAGGCACGCCTCCCCGCCCCCCGCCTGCAGGCCCCGCGGCCCCGCCCCGCCCGCCCACCGCCTTCGCCCCCTCCGCGGGTCCTTACACGGTGATCTGCCCGGCGCCCCTCACAGCCACGGGTTCGGGCGCGTCCCGGGGCCGCGGCAGCTCCTGACTCCTCACCACAGTCCGGGAGGCCTCCGTCCGCTCCTCTTCGTCCTCCGCCTCCTCCTCCTCCTCCTCCTCTTCCTCCTCCAGCTCGTAGATGGTGTCGAAGTCCGCCATGTTGGGGAGCAGGACGCTCATCGCCCCCCCTCACGCCGCGCGCTATTGCGCAAGCGCGGCGGCGCGCGCGTGCGCGACCCGATGGATGGACCATCGCGCGCGCGAGGCAGAGGGCGGGAGAGCGCGCTCTCTCTGGTGCGCAGGCGCCGTGTGGCTTGCCCGCCCGCCCGCCCTCTCTCCCCTTCATTGTAATAGTTTTACATAATATTAGTGTAGTATAATATTATACATGCTATTATTCCAATGCAGTCCTATTTATGGAATATATATGATTCTAAATTGTGTAGGTTCTATGATTTAGAAAGCGTAACATCAGTATTTAATATTTATTTGCTACTTATATGTAGGGATGTGGGTCTATACGTATGTTGTTCATAGTATGTTTAGGTGTATGTCATGTATGTCGTGTGCCTGGCTGAGGAATTCTGGGAGTTGAAGTCCACAAGTCATAAAAGGGCCATGTTTGAAGACCCCTGCTCTAGAATTTGGAATGCTTTTTCCTTTCTTTTTCCTAGTGTTTGGTCATGATTATGATAGCAATGTGAACCTACAACTGCCCCCTTGGCTTATGACCACAATTGAACCAGAACTTCTGCCATTAAGCGAGGCAGTTAAGTGAGTCCGATGCAATTTTATGACCTTTTTTGGCGTGGTTTTTAAGTTATCCTAGTGGACATCCACTTAACTATGAGCCAGCAGTATGTTGCGGCTGACAGTCCTAGGCTGCATTAACAGAGGATAGAATCAAGATCACATGAAATGTTAATAACACTTTATAATGCCTTGGTAAGACCCACACTTGGAATATTGCACCCAGGTTTGGTTGCCACAATATAAAAAGATGTTAAGGCTCTAGAGAAGAGCAATGATCAGAGGGCTGGAGGCTAAAACATGTGCAGAATAGTTGCAGGAATTGGATATGGCTTGTCTAGTGAAAAGAAGGACTAGGGGTGACGTGATAGCAGTATTCCAATATTTGAAGGGCTGCTACAAAGAAGAGGGGGTCAACCAATTCTCCAAGGCATCTGAGGGCAGGACAAGAAGCATAGCTAATCAAGGAGACAATCAATCTAGAAATAAGGAGAAATTTCCTGACAGTCAGAACAATAAATTAGTGGAACGGCTTGTCTCATGAAGTTGTAGATGCTACATTCCTAGAGATTTTAAAGAAGAGATTGGACAGCCATCTGTCTGACATTGGTGTAGGATCTCCTGCTTGAGTGGGAGGATTGGACTAGAAGACCTCCAAGGTCCCTTCCAATTCTGTTAACTCTGTTATTCTCTTAAATTCTTTTTCTATTTCTAGCCTCTGCTGATCAGTGTAAATCAACTGGCATTTTTCTTTTGTCCTTGTTTTTCCTGGGAGACAAACACGAGAGCCAAAACAAGCCTCATGCCCCAAGAGCCCTTATCTAGTACCAGTTCTTTACACTCTGATTTTTGGATGAAAATTTCACCATATTTGGCTCTTGGTCCTTTTTCTCTTGCAAAATCTAAGCTAGACTTGATCCAGAAAGAAGGGTTTTTTTTTTGTTCTCATTGAAACATTTACACAGAGTGCCAATGACCTTGGTGCAATAGGTATAAATAGAATGATGCATGGAGGAAATCCTGCTCTCAGTTTAAGAAGAAATAAAATACTGCTGTATTTTCTGAGAAAGCTTGCAAAATTGAAATAATAATGTAAAAGAACCTCTGATCAATTGCTAAACAAGTTAAACACCAATCTTTGATTGTTAGCCAGAGCAAGGGTCTCCAAACTTGGCAACTTTAGGACTTGTGGACTTCAGTTCCCAGCCAGCCATGAATTCCCAGGGAATTCTGGGAATTGAAATACCAACCACATCATAGTTTTGGTCCATGATATAATATAATATTATAATCATATCATAATATTTGATCCACATCTGGTTTTGGTCACCATGATATTAAAAAGTTGTTGAGACACTAGAACAGGGCTTTTCAACCAGTGGTACGGGTACCACCTGTGGTACATTGGCACCTGGCAGGTGGTACGCAACCATCCTAGAAAAGTAGCGGGGGAGGGGAATGAGCTGAACCGGTGGCAGCACCTCACAAGCCTGAGCAAGAGACGGCTGGAGCTGCAGGGCTGTCAGGGCTCAACGGAAGCACCAGGATCAGTGCCGCTTTCCAGCTGATCGGCGCTTCTTCGGGGCTGTCAGGGCTCAGTGGAAGCGCCAGGATCAGCGCCAGGCTCCAGCTGGAGCTCACCGCTGATCCTGGTGCTTCTGCTGAGCCCAGAAGAAGTGCCAATCAGCTGGAATGGTGCAGCATCTCCAGGGTCTTGTGATTTACATTCAGATGCTTGGCAATTGATTCATATTTATGACGGTCACAGTGTCCCAGGGTCATGTGAAGTGACCAAAACCTGCTGCAACCACCCAGCAGACGGGGGGAATAAAAACCAAACACCCCCCGACCCCGCCCCCACTGCCAATCCTCAACAGAAATGCTCACAACAATGAAAACCTCGGACAGGAGGAAGAGCACCGCTGGGTGGGCAGGCAGGTGTCTTGCTCGGCTGTGGCTTGGGGGCACTTTTTTCAATGCCATTGTAACTTTGAACAGTCATTAAGTGAACTGTTGTAAGTTGAGGACTACCTGTACTTTATCAGTTTTTTCCTTTTTTTTTTTTAATTTGGTCATCAAGTGTTTGACACCTTGCTAGGTGACTGGTGGTACTTGGATATTGCCATATCCTAAAAGTGGTACAATGGGTGAAAAGGTTGAAAAGCCCTGTGGTATAGGGGTCTCTTGCCTGTGCAGGGGGTTGGTCTGGAAGACCTCCAAGGCTCCTTCCAAACTCTGTTATCCTATTCTTCTGCTATGGTTTAATCGGATGGCCTCTAAAGTAACCAGGTTTCACATTAATTGGTCGCAAGAGATTCTGTCTGAATCGCCTGATCCCCACGAATCTTTTCCTGGGGTGAATGAGTACCCTTCTCTATCCCACCTCCTTTCGGCCTCTCTAAACAGGATAACTTCACTTCTCTGGGCATCACTTTGATGGTGGTGACCGAAAGCTGTTCCTCGGGAGAGACATGCCTTGCATTGCGAGATGATCAATGATTAACCCTTCTTCGGACATCAAGAGGGCTGCTCCTTGTCTAACGTCATTGTTGCTTTATCACTTCCCAGCCTTCCTTTGGGGTTTCAAATGAGCCTTCTGATCTTCCCAGGCTGTTTTTGATGTGAGGGCTTTGGACAAACTGCAAGACAAAGGCCCTTTTAAAGTGGCTCCCTAAACTCCGAGGAGGTGTTAAGAATGAAGCACTCTTGCCTCACAAAGGGGCAGCAAGCCCGTCTTATCAAAGCTTCCTTTCACATTCAGATACCTGAGCCAATTGGTTTGGAATTTACAAGCCCTAAACAAATGTCGGCCTGGCTTTCATCTCCTCGAGAACAAGGGGGCATCGGTCTTGGGAACGCCCCTCCGGTTTCCTTTTCTGGAGGAGGAAGCTCTGCTTCAAGGGTGGCTGGCGGAAGAATCTTCTCCATACTGCCATGCTTGAGCGTTAACCCTCCAGGGAGTTTATGCGTCTCTTCTTGGTATTTATCCATCCGACTTGCAGATCATCTGAAGGCCACTGATGCTTTTCCAACTCACGCGTTTTATTAAAAGGCAGAAGTTTTCCAGAGTTCCTAGTCACGTCTTCTGATACGTCATAGACTCACCCAGTTCTCCTCCTATGATTGAGGGGAGGTTTCCTCTCCAACCCTCAGTGGGAACTTCAGAGATTTACGTACTGCATGAAGCCATGATTTGTTTTAGCTGTGTTTCATTGCCCTAGACTGTAAACCATGGTTTCTAGACTCTGGTTTGGGTTCCTATTGGTATCTTATGATTATATCACTTTGTATGTACAGTACACTGAGAGCTTATGCACCAGAGACAAATTCCTTGTGTGTCCAATCACATTTGGCCAATAAGAAATATTCTTCTCTTCTCTTCTCTTCTCTTATCTCCTACCCTACCCTACCCTACCCTACCCTATTTCTATTCTATTCTATTCTATTCTATTCTATTCTATTCTATTCTATTCTATCCCATAATTCTATTCTGTTCTGTTCTATTCTATTCTCACTTTTGGGCTTAGCAGGCAGTACAACCTCAGTAATCTTACATTATTTACTTGAGAAGAGAACATACAGACGGCAAAGGAGAACGGATTGAGGCACCAAACTAGAAAGTGAGAGACTGTGAGTTCAAGTCCCACTTTAGCCATAATAGCCAGCTGAGGGAATTTAGGCCAGTCCCTTTGTCTTAGGCCAAATCACCTCAAAAGATTGTTGTGGGGAAAATAGGAGGAGGATGGAGGATTAGATATTTTTACTGTCTTGAGATGAGAAAGAAAGAAAGAAAGAAAGAAAGAAAGAAAGAAAGAAAGAAAGAAAGAAAGAAAGAAAGAAAGAAAAAGAAAAAGAAAGCTGCTTGAGATCCCATTGTCAAGAATCCAGCTATTGTGATAGGGCTTAGCCTGATTTGGGATTTCAGACACCTGTGCTGAAAGTATCTTAGTGAAAAGAACATGCAAGAGGAAACACTAATTCCTTGGTCCATATATGGAGTGGGTTAGCATTCATGGCATCCTGTACAAGCCACAATGATGTCAAATCCATCAGGGAGTCACTGCACAAATGTCTTGAAATAAAAACTTTGGTATCTCATTCTTGGAGACATTTGTATGACATCACGATATGTGCAGTCCTTCACTTAGGAGGTTTGTAGATTTCAGTATTTTTCAAGGCAGCAAAAAAATATTCTAAATACCCAAGAGATTAATTCAGTATTCTGAGGACCATGTTCCTCTTTACCCAGGTACATCACTTTTTTTGTGGGGGAAAACAACCATATAGGTTGCAGAGAAGAAGAAAAAAAGAGGGTTTCAAATGAATCTTTGGTCTCCTCCTGTCTCAAAATCTTAAAAATGCCTTGGGGAAAGAGAAAAGTGCATGAAGATAAGATGATAAGATAAGATAAGATAAGATAAGATAAGGTA